CCAGCGCCCTACGTAAGGCCTTGGGGCTGGAAAAGATGGAGCCCTTGGACCCCAAAGTGGCTATCAAGGTTCGGATCAATACCTCTAAACGATTCCACTACCGTTGCTGTTGATTTAATTATCGAGGCTTTTACAGCAAAATTCTACTTGGCAAAGTTTGCTTCAACAGGATTTTGTAAGATAAGGGGCATGTCCCCCCCAAAATAAATAAACAAAATTGAAAAATAGAAAAAAAAGAGAAATAAAGCGGGAGGGGAGAAGGATTTCGGCCCGACGGTGAGGTTAGCTCTTTTGGTTTAGTTTGTAAGGAAAACGGAAAGCTGTGGAGAATGTCTGGGGTTCAACTGGATGGTACTTTTTTCTCCCTGTTGTTTTGAGTTTAGTTTCTGTTGGAAAATTCAGTTTCTAAAGGCAATATTAAGCCCAAAATTTCTGTCGTCTTTGGTCAGCGCGCGCGTTGATTTCAAGCATGCTCGACGATCGTTTTTTCCTCCGCGCCCTCTGTTGCCGCATTGCCTCAATATTTTTTGCAGGCAACCGGATCATTTACTCAGGGCGATAGATCCTGTCGAAATCGATGAACAGTGATAGCAGACTATGGGTACGGAGTTGTTTATTGTCAGCTAATAACCATAAATAAGGCTGCATCCGTATCTGTTGTCTAGAGCTAGGTCTAGGTCTTCGGTCCATTGGAAATGCGTGGAGACGCGCAGACAAGAGACCTTGCCGTAGCTCTGGAAGTCCGTTTCGGACACGGCCAAAGCTCAGCATAAATAAGACTGGTCTAGTCCCATGACTCAACAACGTTCATCTGGAACTGTCTGTACATTCCAACCCTGGAGGAGGGGAAAAAGGCTGTGTCGCCACATCAATTCCGAACATCAGCCTGACCAGAGCCAAACTATTTTTGGCCTTATCCTGCCTAAATCTGTAGCCTTGAAGTATGCTCTATTCAAGGGGAAGTCGCATGCACTATCGACATGGAGTTTTGCTCATTAGCCCGCCACCTGTCGCGCATTATTGATACGGTAATAAATTATTTCCAAGTTTCGAAGAACTGGCATATAACTGTAAAAGCCTCGTTTATTTTACCGAAAGACATTCAGATTTCGCACTCTTAAACTGGTTTCTGAGTTTGCAGTAGCGTAGCTATCTGATGATATGGAGTTCTAGGCACGGTTAAAGCGGAAATTATTTTGATCGCTGATGTGCTCGGTGCTTGCGCAGAAACCATCAAGTGGGCATATACCAGTACAGCTTCACTGGTTAAACCGCCATTGTGTGCCAACTGGGTCTGTCAGTCTGAGTTTGTTTCTGCATGCAATTTGGGACAC